CCACATTCCAGCAGAGGAGCAGGAATCGAGATACAAGCAACATCGTAGGGAGTGTAGAATGAGGGTGAGACCGTTTCCATACTCCCCTCATCTAGCAGAATTCCAGAGACTGGAAAGTTCGCTTCCCTATTCATCCATCTCGGTCCGCTGCGGAATGGGAGGGCTCGACCCGAGGAATTGTAAAGGGGAAAGGGGCCCTTATCCCCGGATGCGGCGACGTTGGGCACGCGCTAGAGAAGGGACAGTTCGAGAGAGATAGAGCACCAGGTGAGAAAGTAAATTCGATCGACATGCTAAGAAGTGCAGTGCTGGGACGGAGTTTGCTCGAGGAAGGGGGTGGTTTGGAACACGCCCGTCATCTCAGCCTTGCAAATTAGTAATGTAATTTTCTTGGTGTTAGAATCAGATAGGAAAAAGAGAAACCGCCCTTCGGTCAATAAACTCGAGGGTGCTTTAAGATAACAATAAGATAACAATACCAGAAGAACAGTTGAGCCAGTGAAGAAAGCCAGGGGGCGAACAGTGTTTACTGAACACGGGCTCTCACCCCCTCCCCAGGTCTCACATCGGAACGAGGCTACAAGTCTGTGCCCAAGTAGGGTCTTAAAGAGCTTGCGTTAGTGACAAAGGGGAGAAACAAACAGCGGGACGCTGGCCGAGCCGAAGCCAAAAACCACAAGTGTCAATATCATGTGGCCGCATGCCAGCGGGCCAGTCCATCACCGTCCGCGTCAAAGTCTCAGTGCCCCTGCCCAGCGTATCTCCCAGCATTGCCAAGATTCGCGTGTTTCTCTTCCCCATGCCTAGCATGGCATGTTGTCGAGAAATAGTTAGACATGGTCTCAGCCCATATGCAGTGGGAAACTTGGGTAGATTGATTATCTGGTGAGTGGAGAGCAAGAGCGAATTCCAGCTTGTTTCCCTCCCTACTTCACCTACCATTGTTCCTCCCTTCTGTAGCATTATCAGAGACCGCGCTCTACTTCCAAATTACTGGGAGAGACATGACCATCCGAGACCCCCCTGAATCCGATGTTCATCGAAATTAGCCAGCACGCCAGCCTCAGTGAAGGATTCCTCTTTTTAATAGTCTCAGCATAGTCGACTTATTAAACACTGTAAAGGATTGAAAGCAGCGTTCAGAGCTCCCAGGTACCTTGCGGCCAGTAGGAGGAACACGACACAGTACAATCGGGAGATTGTGAAGGGGGTACGGGGCGGAAATGAACAAAAGACGCCAGTGTCTCATAGTCATCTTACCAACACGCCCGTCGGGAAATCACCAACAGATGATCCAGGAGGCTAGATAATGCGGTTTGATAGTTCTGATACCGGCTCATGTCGGACAACACATGACAAAGAAACCGAGAGAGAGCAGATGCAAGGGAGGAAGGGAACGGACCGTCGCTTTCGGCAAGCATTGGGAGGCACAGGCTCAAAGCCAACACACATGGAAGCAAGGCACCAAATCCATTGCATCATACTCACCTCTGCAAAGAGTCCATGCAAATCAAAGGAAGTCGGCGCCGTCGCCGCCCAACGCAATAGTTGCTCCCATGCCACGCCGCCAAGGCATGGCTGCCCGGCTGGTGCCTGGTGTTAGTCGTGGGATGCAAATGATTTGAATGACTAGCTAGTCAAGCGGCCGTCACAAGGCCGATTCAACGCCAGAGGGAGTGATCACCATGAGAAGAAAACGGAGCCAGCCTAACCACCACGAAACCCACCCGCATGAAAGAGCCCAAGGCCAGGTGTAACCTCACCGAGCAGTTCCGCCCGACGCAGTGATCTGACAAGACTGACAAGACTGACATGGCACTTCGACCAGGTCAGGGGCACCTGCTGCCTTTTACTAACTTGGCCCTTCTCCCATGTCAATGGACGGTCAGTGGAGGCCGAGCTAGTTGCAGTCCACCAGCTACGTGGTAGTCTCCGAGCCGGCGCCATTCCGTGCATACTTGGCCCTCTCCCTAACCCAACCCAAAACTCCTCGCCCGTCCCTCATGACCCGAAACGCGACCGCAGCGCAACGGGCGGGAAGCAGGCAGACAAGCGGCCGGGGGCCCGATGCTACTGTGTAACTCTGCTCACCCCTTCCCTTCCCTTCCCACCTCCTCTCCCATCTCCACCAAAGGTGGCAGGCAGCAAAGGCCAGTCCCCCAAGAGCCTACCGAAAACCTTGCCGCCTCTCTCCCCACGTCCACACGCACTGTACCCAGCCAGCCGTACAGCAGCAGGCAAGTTACGTTGGTGATGTTTCCATCGTGGTGCATCTCGCCCCTCACCTCCTCCCTCGCTTCTACAGGCGCTACGAGCCCCTCCCTCCCTTTCCGAGGCCTATAGGATCTCAAGGGTGAGAAATAAGAAAGGAATTAGGAGGAGCATGCCGTCAGATGGGACAGGAAGCATGGCCAGTCAAGTTGTATCGAGCTCTTGGCCTCCGCATCCGCGCCTCCCACTCTATTGTGCCCAATGATCCTCCCCCCGGCCGGCGACGCACCCAGGCCCGGAGTTAGGAGCAGCAGAGAGGGGGAAACAAACGGGTATCCAGCCCCGGGATCCTGTCGATAGCTTTCCGAGTCGGGCCATTAGCCCCTAGAGACTAGCAGACTGGACGTCGTGCTCATAAGAGCCCATCGGTGATCGAGTGGCTCTGCAACAAGGCCGGAACCGACGAGGGCATCCAAAGAATCAACTGTTCAAAATAACAACACCAGAGGGCCAAAGCGTCTCTCTCTCGTCCTCATGAGCCCATCTCCAGTATCAATCAACTATCCCTGTCCCTGACGGACGGCCAGAGATCGAGGAGAGACCCAATGATAGAACAGAATCTGCCATCTCCTTCGAACCAGACGCGGCTTTCGCCCGCGCCAACTCAGAACCATCCCACAAGCTACAGCTGCCATTGGGCCTGGGAGAAGCACAGGTCCCAGCCGGAGTCACATCGCCCAGCGAGAACCCGCCGCGCCCGCCCAGACCCTGTCCTCCCTTGCCTTAGTCCCGCTTGCGGATTTCGTCACGGGGCCACATCCTCGTCCTCTCCTCTCTCTCTCTCTCTTCCTCTCCCATCTTTCAGCTGCTCCGTGCGGGACCCCAAGAGGGCTGCCTTCCCCCATTAGGTTGCTGCTTAATGTTAGCTGTCCCTCCCTCAGCTTACTCCAGCAAGCCAACATCTGTAAATATCCACACACACACACACACCCCTCCCCCCCTTTTCCCTGCTTTCCCAAAATTCCGCCCATTTTTTTCTCCTCCTCCTCTCCTCTTCCTGCTCTAGCCTAATGTAATGTACATGCACACGCCGTTCAATACAATACAATACCAAATACGTATTATACATCCCATCCCATTGTAACGCACGTCGTTCCCACACCGCTTCATGTACGATAACCAAAGCAGCAACAGCCAGTGCAGCCAGTAGCCCGGCGCATCTGCATACTCTAGACCCAACTCTCTCGCTTCCCGCTTTCCGTTGGGAGGGGACCTTTTGGACTTGCTGGTTCTGGCCTCGGTGGTGGAAAAGGCTCAGCTAAACCAAGTGCTTAGTCTCCGTCCCAAGTCTCGACTCTAGCGCAAACCCACACCCACATCATCACACACCCCCTCTCTCCTACTCCTCTCTCTCGCCGTCTCCTCCTCTCTCTCTGTCCCCTCCAGCCTCTCGTCCCCACCTAGATATTGAAGAGGGGCCCTTCATGTTGCCAACAGGCGTGGTGCTGGTACTGCATGACCCTTGCGCAAGCGAATGTTTACCAGACCATGAGAAGGACCGGCATCGTACCAGATTTCCCTCCCAACCCCACGGAAGCGGCTTGTGCGCTTCCTTCCACTCACTCCCCTGAGCCAGAAGGGAATGCCCGGCCTATTTCTGGCTCGAGTTTAGCCCGCGCTAGGCCCAACTCCTCCCTAAACACCTCATCTCCCCACATACTGGGATATGTCTTGTCTGGCCGTCTACACACGTCCAAGTACGAGTATGAACTTTTTGTCGAACTGCATTAAATGGCCTGCCAGCCAGGGTTCTGTGAATTGGAAGGAGGAGGAGAGGAGAAAAGGCGTTTAACGCCATTGGGCAATGTTAGGTAGTATCGATGCCCAAGTCGGGAGCTCTGCACTATAGGAGATGCAACGTCGGCTCTTGGTTGGCACCCAACCACCCCTCTGCGTGTCAGATTATATATCACAAAAGCAAGTCAGTCGATGACATTCAGAGACAACGAGAAAACACGACTCTACCAGTCACACGCAGCCAGGCAAGGTAGGCAGCAAGTATGTAGTATACACATCATCGTCAATCTTTGCATTTGAAACTAAATACTAGACACACTAATCATATTGAAAACATTATCTCTCTGCGAACCCCCCTGCACACCCGTCCGAGCAGGGGGGATTATTTTGGTATAATGCCGCGAGGCAAACCTGTCTTTATCTTTCCAACAAACCAAATAAAACCAGCGTACGTAAAAAGAGTGATGAACGAAATTGAAAAGAGACCAAACGTAGAACCGTGGGAGAATGATAAATATCAACTGCTCCGCCCTTCGCCGCCGCTCAACATCGGGCGGCGGATGAGTAGCCAGCAAGACTGCGGCCAACAATCATGACACAAACGAAATACACCGTCAAAAGAGGAGTAATGGTACCAGGAATCCAGTCGTGATACCCCCATATGTTCGTTGCCAAACGACAGGCCATCTAATAAAAGAAAATTCCTCTCCAGCTGGATATCATTCCAGAAGACAATAGGCCCCGCCTCTTTAGTTATTTCGCCGTTGCAGCCTTTTCCATGATTCCCCTCTTCCGTAATTTTTTTTTTCCTCGTCATTTCTTCAGGTCGTCCAGATAGATCCTCAAGGCCATGTCTCGTCAATGAAAATGTAGTAAGGGCGTTGCTTTGGCGGACCCGCTCGCGCGTCCGTCTTCGCTTGCTTTCTTCCCCTGTGAAAATCGCTGTCCGGCAGCGGCGTCGTAGTGTAATGGGTACGAAAAAACTTCTTCCATCACTGTCGTGGGCGGTTCAGTCGATCAATCATTCCTTTATCAATGTCATTCTTGTCCACCAAATTGCTGAGGCTCATGACACTCTGAGACGACTTTGACGCAGCGGGGGGGCTTCGGCGAGCAGATTGGTTGTGGGATGGTGTGGAGGAACCGCTCGAACCATTCTGTGTGGTCGCCGGTCCGCTCTGCATAGGTGAGAGGTGGCTGCCAGTTGCCGGGTTGCTGCCTGGTCCAGGATTCGTGTTAATCGGAAGCTGTGGCAGGGGTGGGTTTCGTGGACTGTTCCTGGCAAATGGGGGGAAGCTCCCGACTCCCGGGCTGCTGGTATTAGAGTGCTCAGCGGGTGATCTCCGCCGGGGCTCTTCATCTGCAACGTTAGGTCTGGGCGGCGGTAGGCGGAACTGTTCACCCTCTTCCTGGGAGGCTGATGATCGGCGGCGTCGTCGGCTCGTCTGAGAGCCCTCGTCGGCCCTTCCCGAATTGTATGAATACGATGATTCGGAAGGCGATTGGGCCGGGGGACCCTGTTGCGATGGGTGGTGTGGCGGTTGCTGAGCATGTTGGGGTAGCGGTGCTCCCGCGTGCGGGTAGCCCGGCGGCTGCTGTGCGGTGGCAGCGGATGGGTAGTGATGGGTCTGCGGCAAAGGCTGGCCGTATGCACCGAATAGAGGAGTACCTGGGGGGACGCCTCCAGGAACCGCCGAGACAGGAATGAATGCTGTGGAGCTCGAGGACGACACGGGCTGGAATACACACTCTTGGTTCATCCGCGCGCAATTCTGACACTTTCCTCCAGGCGCACTTTGGTAGCCGCTGCATCGGATCTGGTACACGGAAATCTATGTTTAGCCACATCGGCAGGACGATCAACAACGGGGGTAAAATTTACCTTGCGCTTGCGACAATACTTGCAGGCAATAGATGTGCGCTGTCTGGGAGCCGCCTGAGCCATTGGGGGAGGTGGTGCCCCGGCATAGTCGGCTGGGTAGTGGTGAAGAGGCGCGCCGGTTGGTGGTCCATAAGGGTAGTGGCTAGGAGGTGGTGGAGGGCCTTGAGCCTGCTGGCGGTAATAGTAATCTTGAGGGGGCGGGTAGTGAGGATCGTGAGAGTAAGAGGGAGGCGGCCTGCCCTGGTAGTGATGCTCCGGAGGGCGGTAGCTTGGAGCTCGAGGATCTGACTGTTGCTGAGGTGGTGGGAGATAGCCAGATTGGCCAGGTGGGGGAGGGTAGCCATTGGTCGCGTTGGGCGAGGCATAACGAGGATCAGAAGGGTAGCTGTAACCCTGTGGGTGAGGAGGTGGGCCGTAGCCCCCGGCACGATGGTCCTGCATGGGAGGTAGAGTGATGGAAGCTGCCATACTGTTGACACGCTGTCCGTCAGAAGGTCGGGGAGTGCTCTCCGCAGATGGTGGGTAATGAGACTGAGAGTGGTGCTGAGATTGTCGATCCTCCGGTCGGCTATGCGGAGGATGGTCTTGTCGGTAGCGGTCGTCTGCCATGCTACGTCGGACCAAAACAGTAGGAAACCGAGGGCCTCAGATTACGAAGAACTGAGGCGCTCACGAGAGTATCAAGGTTTGGTCTGTCTCCCGTATTCTCGCGGACAGTAGGAAATATGGCCTTCTGATCTTTCAAAGTGGCATCTGCCTTTCTCGGGAAACGGTCTGGAAGATCTTTGGGTGATGCGGATCTGTCTTCTGAGATTGGTGAGCAGGGAATTTGAGGGAATACGGTGCTTAGGGTCGACAAGGGAGTGTGAAGGGAAATAACGCGAAACAGACGGAATTTGTGCAAGAAGAAAATGCCCACTCGAACAGCGCAACAAAACACAATGCGTCAATCAAATGCAGGAATGGGAATTCAAAGAAACGAAGAAAGGGTGCTGGCCAAGGGCTCGAAATCCCAGGAGAGTGGCAGCCGCGCGCACGCCGATTGTTTATCCAGTCTGAAGCAGTAGACGTGGTTGAGCAAGGGCAGAACAAGACGAGGGAAGAAGGAGGTTTGAAATGTCTCGTAGCGGGGACAGCCGCGGAACAGTGGGAATGCCACAGTCGGTGGTTAGGCCGGTGTCAGGCCGGTTTCCTAACAGAACAGACTAAGACCCAAGGCAATGGCCCAAGCCGGTGGTGTTCGTGGACACTTTCGCGGGCTAAGGCAAGGGCACACAGCTAAGGGCACGAAGAGGGTCCGGCTAGAGAACCGAAAGGCGTGGGTGTATGGGGTCTTAATTTTCTGGGCCTCGCCAGCGTGGTGGTGTGTGTGCGTGCGCGCGCAGGCCAGTGGTGTGCATCGCAAAACCGGCGAGTTCTGTGAACAGGAGGGTGAGGCGAGGGCGAGGCATGCCTTTCTTGGGGTCATGGGCGTGTGAGAGTTTTTGACTTTGCCGTGGTCGTGGCTGGAATGCATCTAAAGTGATGGCTCGATTGACTCGGACGGCCACTAGAGCGTCATGTCCGGAAGCCAACGGCAGCTTGCAGTTGCATTGCCGTCTCTTCGTGTGTGGGCGGCTGCACCAGGTGAACCTAAGTGCCTAGCAGGTGCTGCAGAGGTATGCAGACGAGATGATGAGGGCCTTGAGGATGACGAGTTCGGAGCACAACAGACCCATCGCAGCCCAACTGACTGCTCGAGCTGGCGGTGACACACCAGGCGTTGATATGTGTTCCACAGCTTAGCAAGGCCCAAACCCAACTGTAAGACTTGATCGTCTGCGCTCGCTCCCAAAGTCGATGAAGCCCAGGCTTTTTTTGGCGTTGATTGCCCGCGTTGACGAAACCACGACGACCAAGCAGCACCTCATCAAGGTGCGCACCACAACACACAACTGATGTCTCCCCAGACAGTAGCCAGCTCCTCGGGCTATTTTTTTTTCGAACCAGCGTGATAATTGAAGGTACAAACAGGGTGGACGCGCGGAAATATGGACCAAATCAGGCTCTCTCAAGCAATCAAGAGTCAATGGCTACAGTGACTCACGAATTGCGAGGCAGCGAAGGCCATTGCCCTCCTTCTGAGTGAGGCGATGGGTGACGGGATGAAAGACAGGGTGTAAAGCGCGCAGTAACAGCAGTGGTCATGATTCAAGAGGGAAGAGGGTGCGAGATAAAGTGAAAGTTGTGCTCACTCACCAGTGATGTCAATGCCGTAGGATGGCAAGAGAGGGCTTGCGGTCAATCGGCAGCAAGTCAATACGCAAGAAAGTCGCACGTTTTCGAGGCCAAACAAATGGTTCTCTTCAGTGAATAACTGGGCTCGCGGCGGCTCGTTTGGTTTCCAGAGCAGCAGGCCAACTGGGCGCGAGTCGATTGCTCAAACCCAGCAGGCCGAAGACGGATGGCAGGGCGAGGAGCGACGATTCAGTCCCCTGCGGCTCGTGCTGGCAGCGGGTTCTGGATGGGATTGGGGGTGGGCGAGGTGATGCTGGTGGTGATGGAGGATGGACAGGAAAGGAAGAGAGAGGGCGGGATGCACACCGGACCTGACCAGACCAGACCAGACCTGAACCTGATTAAGTGAACCAAGTCAGTCAGAGAGTGTCGGGGGGGGCGCACTTGATGTTTGGTGGATGCGCTTCTAGCCAGTACACCACGTTAGCGACGGCAAGAGGCACAGCCAGCAGGACTGAACTAGACAGGCCGGCAGGACGATGACCTCGATACTTGAATACCTGTGCGGGCAGGGATGATGGGATAGGCGTCGCTGGTCAGGGGTGGATGGATGCTGACATTGGGACTGGACTGGCTCGAGGGGTGGCAGCAGAAACGGCACCCCGGGGTCGAGGGGGTGGGGGCAGGGGTGGCCAATCCGACCTGAAGGAGGTTCAACCGTTCACAGTGCGCACGGCTGCAGTGCGGGATGGGAGTGTCCGTATCTCGCTTGCCATCCAAGGCATGGCATGGGATGGGTGGCAGAGGGGAGAAGAAGAACTGAGAAGAGTGGGGAGAAGGGGGCACCAAGGAAGGCCCAGGAGAGAAGGGAGGAACGGCGGGGGTTCTGCCACGAGCCATGGCCAATGAGCGCGCCGCCCCAAACAAGGCCAGTCTGGGGTGGTCCCGACCGCCAGCGGGCTGCAGAGGCGGCCGCAGGACGCACGAACAATGTGCCTCTTTAGCGGGTGGGCTCCAGCGTATAGTGGGCGATGGCCTATATTAGGTGCCTTTTAGGGGCCTCTTAGGGGCCTGACGCCGGGTGCCTGTCCACGGTGGCTACCACCTACAAGTCAGGGTGCAGCTTCAATTGTTCAGTGCTGTGCTGCGCTGTGCTATAGCCCGGACAGGGGCAGGGTCCACCGCCCTCTGGTGCACCATCATTAATCCTACCCAGCCAGCCCGTTATCATGTCACACAGCACCACTCCGTCACCCGGATGTCGACAAGCAGACAGCGGCACTATCCGTGACCCCAGCTTCCTCCAGCTTTGCATCTCCTCCTGCCCATCGCGTGCGCCGTAGCTCCCTCCCGGCCGTTGTGTCACGTATGGATGGGGGAGAGAACGTCGGGTAGGTAACCACCGTCAGAGACAGACTTTGTGGCCACCCAACATCGGTTAGCTGCCCTCTCGTCCAGGCAAGCGAATGGCATCTCCACGCATGCACACACACACACAAACGGACACACACATACATACACGTACGCGCACCCGCCCACAAACATCCTTTGTCACATAGCATCAGTAAAACATGGTGGGCCAGGCAGAGACCACCCAGCAGCCACACCATCTCCCAGTTCCAGGGCGTTGGACAACACCGTCGCTGTGTCGCTCTAGAAGTAATATTGGGGGCGGCTAGTATAAAAGGCATGCACCGACGGTCCCAGCGCCATGGGCAAGGGACAAATGGGCGTCAATGGTGTCCGAATCCGGTGGTGATGGTCTCGGGAGGGGCTGTACCTTGCAAAGCCATGTGCCATCTGCTAACCTATACCTTGCACCTTTGTCGGCCAAGCTGGATCACGAGGAGAGGGAATGTCTGTAGTAGCTGGGATGCAGGGTTTCGAAAACGGCCATGTACATGTGCATTGGATGGATTGATGCGATGTGATGGAATTAGTGTTTGGGGCTGCAGGCGCCGTTCACGGGAAGAAAACGGAAACCCCAACCAGCCATGATTGTTGAGGTTGGCCGACGTTTCTCGCTCGTCGGACTGCGACACGAGCCAATCCGTCAACCGTAACGCCACAGCAGGCTTGCCCCCCCATCAGCTACGGGCTACAGGTCATGCATCTACACTGCAGGTTGTACTACGCGAGCGAGTGAATCTTGTCCTCAAATTAGGCTCTGATAAGCTCCCTCTGAGGTCTGGACTCAGACTGCGAGTGGAACGAAATATGGCTGAGGAAAAAGAAATTATAGCCAATCACCGATCCGGCATGTTCCGGATGATAATGAAGCATGTCGCTACGCTCGCTGAATGAAAATTAAAACAAGAAATTGAATTGAGAAGAAAAAAGAAAGCAGCCCAGACACTTGATACCACCCAACCAACCAAGGATGAGAAAAAGGAAGCAAGTCAGAGAATGGCAGGATCCCTGCAGACAGTCATATGCTCCGGTCTGCGACCGACACAGCCTTCTCAACCGGCTTATGAGAAGGCGGTCCCGACAAGTGATGGGGGAGGGGCTCTCCGCAGTCTGCACCCTTCGTTAGACTCATCTGGAGGTAAGAAGGTAGTATTTTGGGAGTGATCTCAATCTGGGTCCCTTTTCTCCCCCGCGGTGTCGTCTCCTCACCACCAGCGGGGTCAGGTGTTCATCGGCAGGATCCAAAGGTCTTCAGTTGGGCGTCTGTACGTAAGAATTGAGTCGGTCCCGGGATCGTACACGGCTTACTCTCCGTGCGAGTCTTCTTTGTACGTTTCCCGCCCTGTCGTACTCCCGACCCTTCTATTGCTTGTTCCCTGCAGGCCCTTCCCCTGGGTCCGGGACTAGAGGGCTGAGGAGGGCGTCAAGGGCGCCTAGATTGATTGATACCAGTCTCCTCTCTGAAGCCGATGCAACAGTGCTGTAGGCAGGCCGCCATCGCCAGACGTGTGGGAAGCAATACAGGGACCGGATAGAAGCAAGAAGGGTGTGGGGTGTGGATATCCCGCCCTCCCCCTGGTACCTTGTGTCTGGTCTGCTGCCTGCCTGAGAAGTCCGGTCTGGCGCTGACATCTCCCTCATCAACAGCAGCCATTGTGACCTGGCTCCTCTGCAGATGAGACCTGCAGTGGGAAGGCAGGTCTCGTTGCATGGGGGATGCGCCCTCACCGCCCGGCTGGGTAACAGGGGTGGAGGGCGCATTTGGGAATTTGATCCTGGCCGGTGCAACCCTTTCCTGGGCGGGAAATAAAAAACAAAGAAAATGACGCCCCGAAGATCAGAACCCAGCAGGAGATGAGACCGGAGCGAAAGAGCGTCAAGAGGGCGGCCAGAGAGACATGACAGGTCAGTTTGTCTACCTGCACGGCTTCTCGGCCACCAGCTTCACTTTCTGCTTTGCTGTTTCACTGCCCTTTTCGAAA